CCCCCAGGCCTTGCCGCCCTCCCTGCCTCAGTACCCCCCGCGACCCCTCCTTGGTCAAGCTCCTCAGCGACGCGTGGGCTGGGACATCTGCTCTGGCTCAGTAACCGGGACCCCCTGCTCCCGTCCCTCAGCGGCTCTCCCCGGCCGGACGCCCCCGCTGCCCCAGAACCTCCCGGGATCCCGTCCTTAAGTCTCTTAGCCACCACCTCGAGCCGGGACGTCCCCCCCCCCCCCCCCCCCCCACCCCACCGGCCTCAAGACGCTGCATCCCCTCCCCAAGCCCCGTAACGACACCGACGAGCATCCCCAATGCAAGCCCCACAACGACGCCCCCGGGCCCCCAGCTCTCCCTTCGCTCCCTCCCAGGCGCTCTGCTTGGGGCCGGTCAGCGTCCGCTTGGCCGACACTAATTTCAGCCTCGCGGGGAGTCCGGGTGACCTGCCCGCCCTGCGAGAGGCAGGTCCGGGTCCTAGGACCTCTCCCCGTACCCAACCGGGACGCCCCCTGCCTACCGCTCAGGGCGGCTTTGAACTTCCCCCTGACCCAGGTGCTAGCCGGGCTTGGAGAGAGGAAGAAAGGAAGGGCTGATGGGACACTTACCCCTACGGAGCTTAGAGTGCTTATCCAGACGGTGCGGTGCAGAGCCACGTTTCCTGGGTAGCTCCACATTTTAAAGAGTCTCCCAGTCGCCAGGCCAAGCCCAAGGCCAGTCTTCCCGAGGTGGGGCCTTGGACCATGATGGAAGCTAGGACTTTGCTCAGCTTCCACACACACCCTGGCTTGCATCAGAATTCTTTCCAAGTTGAAGAGCAGGCAAGAGGGCGTTGTCTGTCCCAGCTACATTTCTCTGCAGGTTGTTTGGGTGTTGAGAATTGGGCATTCGTGAAAGGGACTGAAAGAGTTCATTACCGGTTTGCCCGAGTAGGAAAACCGGCCTTTGCGTTCCTTCTCCATCCAGAGTTGCAGCCTGTGATGTTGGAAAGACAGGATTTTGCTGCTGAAAGAAAACTCAGAATTGCTTTACTTACTAGCTTGGATTAGTGGAAAAGATACGACCTGATGTTACTTTCTGTGTGACATTGGGTCATGCCTTCAGCCCTCTGAGCCTCAGTTTCTTCATCTGTAAAGGAGCAATAATGATGACTCCCGTGCAGGGTGTTGTGAAGATTAAAGGATACTGCAGGTAATACATTCACATATAGAAGGCAGTCAATAAACATGTTTTAATAATACTTTTTATAGTGCTTCGCAGTTCACCAAGTGCTGGATACCTCATTTGCCCTGGGAATGCTATGAGATTCCAGTCTGATTAATCCCTGTAAAAGTCACAGCTTGACTTTAAATCAGTAGAAGGAGGAGGGTCTCCAAATGCTGTAAACCTTGGGCTTAGAAAGTGGTTTCTGAGTGACCAACGGCCTTCTGGGGGACTTCTACAAAAACTTCTACAGAAGTTTGATCACTTGTACTGTTTGCCCTATGCAAGGGGTAAAGGAGGAACTTTCCGAGAGCCGGGATGTGTCAACATAACTGTAACCTAGTAACCCCTTAGCTCTGCTCTGTCATCTGTGTGGTCAGGATTTAGTGTCCTCTGTGGAGAGAGAGGTATGGTAGAAATAAACCGGTTCCACCTTTGGAAAGGGCTATTGCTCTGGAGGGTGGTAAATGAGCCAACTATGCTCACGCTTATTAGAAGGTGGTACCCTCTTTTCAAGCACCTTTGCTTTGCTAGAACAGGTTAAATGCTGCAGCTCTTGTGTAGTTTGAACCTCAAACCTTGGTGTGCTTTTATTTGGGAGTCTGAGGCAGGGACAAATAAATAACCATTGTGAAATGATTTATGATAAGTGACCCAAATTCCCAATTCAGTGAGCCTCACCAGCTCTTCTTACCATCCTGGTACATTAGTGCTTTTGTGACTTTTCCTCTTTAGTTCCAGAAGCTGTTTTAGGGAGATACTGCATTGTCCCCAGCATCACATCCCATCTAGAGCCTACCCACTAGTTTTTAAAATCCTTTCTGATAAAAAACATGTTTCACTCCGAAGATATGCCCAACTTGCCATTTTACATTTTTTGATACTGTAATTTTCTCCAAAATTTTGTGGATGGAAAAAATTGTTTCAATACTTACATTCTGCACAATTTGTAATATTCAAATTACTGGTGGTTTGCATTTTTGAATGCTGACTTTATAAAAACAGTTCATACCTCATCCATGCTACTTCTAATTACAGTGTGTAGTCAACCCCAAAGATCTCCCTTCTCTTAATTCTTTGAGATTCTCTTCCCTCACAACTAATAAGAAGGAAGACAGAGTTTCATGGTGGAATCTAGACTCCTTTTTTAAGGAGGAAGGCAACCAGGACCACAGTGCTGATAGGCTTTCCAAATTGGGCCCCCCTCTGGAATTTACTGACCTGCAGGCGAGAGCCAAGGGGTAGGAAAAACAGGGACAACTGGGTGGATTTCAGTTATTTGAGTTTTCCTCCTAAGGCAACCTACCTGCTTGGGTGTTTCACTGAATTTGGGGGCTATCAGGGGGCTTGAACAAAGCTCAACTCAGGTTACGTTTGCTGTGAGCACCTTTTATAGTTGATGCACATTCTCTGCTGACTTCTCATCTAGAATTCGTCCCACTAGCCAGTAATATGTCTTGCCATAAAACCTATGAATTCAGTTAATAGTGAGAGCTTCATACTACACAGAGCTCTGCCCCTCTTGGTAACTTCACAGATGTTAATAGAATTATCTGTGTGTAACATAGGGTCTGAGAGGAGAGAAGTGGACTGGCATGCATACCTGTTATTTTTAAACTTGGAGTATTTTAAGAAACATAAACCTTTCAAAACTGACCTGATATCAAAGAATTCTGATCTTTTGGTGAAAATTTGTTTTTCCCCCTAGACAAAGTTATTTAAATGTTTGAGATATGCAATGAGACCTTTTATAAATCTTAAAACAAGAAAGTTCCATTTTGTTTCACTAATAAATAGCAAGTTGGCTCACTAATAAATAGCAGTTCCTGTGGGCATTATTGATACACTCACTCATGATTTAACATAGTTGGATCAACAGTAATAAATGGTGAAGATAAAACATATTGTTTTAAGTAACTACATAATATACAGATTATGGATTTTTGGTGATGGGCAATATCTATCTTTAGTTTTGAGTTTTGAGCCTGTAATGCCATCTGAGGCACCAGGTCAGGTATTGGCAAACATTTTTCGTAAAGGCCCAGACAGTAAATTTGGGCTTGTGGGCCACATACTGTCTTTGTGGCAGTTATTTAACTCTGACTTTATAGGGCAAATGCAGCCATAGATAAATGTAAATGAATGGGTGTGGCTGTGTTCCCATAAAACTTTATGGATACTGAAATTTGAATTTCATGTAAATTTTATATATCACAAAAAATTGTTCTTCTGATTGTTTTCAACCATTTACAGTTTTAAAAACCATTCTTTGCTCATGGGCTATACAAACACAGGCAGTGGGCCATTTGTGACCCACAGGCTCTGCCAACTTCTTGCCTACGTCCACATGCATTGATTTTTCCTGTGTTCACTGATCTGGAAAGGTGACAAGGAGGCTTGATTTTGGTGAATGAATGAACCTTTTACCTTTTACTATTAACTAACTTTAAGTGACATCTGGGAAATGGCTACAGTGATAAATTTTAAGTTCTGTATGTTTTACCACAGTTTTTAAAAAAGATAATTGTGGGGGAAGTTCATGCACATACATTTGGAACTTTAATAAGACTTTTAAAAAAATGCTTTAAAAAGAAATCAGTATGGTTCGGTGTGCACTGCATAAAGAAAATAGTGCCTGCCCTGGAACTGGCCATGGTTTGTTCAACTATGCAGATATTGCTTGGAACAGATCGTCGAGAGATCTGTTTCTCAGAGGAAAGCCCAGGCAGCAGGTGGCACCAGCCTGAGACACAAAAAACAGCTGGGGGTGGGGGAAAAAGAAGACGTCGACGAAAACAAACTTCTATCACATTCCTAAACAGTTGAATTTTACTTCTGTGGTCCAATCATCATTTTTAAAGTGGCCTTTAAAAAAAAACAACAGTGTGCTTAGCATGGCTGATTATTTTGTTTTAATTAAAACATTTTTGAAAAAAACAAAATGAAACATTCAAACATACCAAGTTGATTGTGTCTGTACTGTGGGACAGTTAACGCAAAACACTTGAGCAAGGCCAGAAGTCTGGATCTGTAGCTTTTGCCTTGAGTTTTTGCCTCCTGAGTAAAGGCCAACCGAGGAGGAAGTGAATGTGTCCCTTAGAAAACTCCTGTACCGGTTTTGAGACGAGATCTCCCCAAGCCCCCTGATGCCACCTGCGGGTTCGTTTTCGGCAGGCTCACTGTGCAGCCCCTGAATGGGGGGCAAAAGATTCCATATTCAGTCTGACTTTGAGAAGCCAGTTGGAACCCGGAAGTACTCTAGGAGGAGCAGCAGGTCACTCTCTCTCAGTTGTGTTCAGTGTCTTCCTCTGAAGGTGGACGGCGTCCTCCCCGGACCTCACCTCTGAGGCATTATCCTGGATTTGTACTGAACAGGGAAAGGGGAGGCCATTGTAGAAATGTCAGAGGGGTCCCCATACTCCTCGAAAATAGTCACTGCAGAAACTGCCTTCTTCTCTAAGGAAATCTCCCCCCTCCCCTTATAAAATCCTCTTTCTAGGTAAGCACCTCCCTAGCCTGGACTGGTATCCGTTTGAAGAGGAATGCAGTTGAATCCTAGGGAGAACCTTTCAGACCAAAGATTTTAGGTCACCTAACATGCAAGGTTGCCTCTCCTTCCCAATTATAACAGTATCCTCTTGGGGCTGCCCAGCTTCTAGACTCTCTTGTCACTGATTTAATCCCTGGCAAGTAGCCAAAGCCTTAAACTTTTATTGTCCAATTTGCCACAAGGGCGGGCCCCTATTTCTAGTGGGCTGAGGAGGCTGCAACCACTTCCAAACCCGGGTGTCACACCATATTAGCAGCTTCAGATTCGGGGCTGGGTGTCTTTCAGTTTGGTCAGATTCTTGGTTGGAACCAGACCAAGATACCCAAAGCTTGAAAGCTAGAAAATAGTAAAAACAGCACAGGCAACTTTTAAAAATGCTTCAAAATGGTTGCAGCATTAGCACTGGGAAGAACCCTGCATGGTTTCTTTATACCTTCCTAACAGGTTAAATGGCTCTTCCTGTCCCTTGGTGTCCTAGCGTTGGATGAACACATGGCAGTCAAGCACTTCTTTTCTAGAATAGTGGGGATTGTTAACCAGTGCCATCACAGTATTTAAATTACTTGCTGCTGCTCAATCTATAAAAATTCATCTTCAAAGAAAATTATTGGGCTGGTAAAAATATTTTTTAATAATGACCACAGAAGCCATATTTGTTTTTCTTTGATGTTCTTCTGAAGACTCTTCTGGTTTTAATCAGATTGTTCCCACATAAAATACAGTGGAAATCTACAATAATAAAATCCCTATTCCTGTGTCTATGGGGAAATAAACAGGATAGGGACTGTCCTTTTAAGGGGCTTTCCCCTTCCCTTTCCCCAGACTCAAAGCCTCTATTACTGGTGGGTGTCTTGGCATCAGTTAAGGACCTTCAATCCTTCCCTCCCTCCATGTTTTGCTCTTTCATTAAAGTGTTTCTGTTGTCTAATTATATCCTTTCAATCAAATTAGAGGCTGCAGCATCTGGTGAGGGCTGTAACTGCTGCCATCTGCACCTCGTATATACAGGCCTTTTCAGCTGAGAATCACTCAACTTCCAAATGGCAGGAAGAGATTTGGAAAAAGTTTAGTTGGAAGGGAGGTTAACTTAAAAGGAACATCTTCAAAGGCTGGATGCGACACCCTGCTCACCGTGCTGTGCGCACTGCCATGCAGGTTCGTTGGCTTGGCTCACCAAGGGTTCTTCTCTAGTGCCTCTGACAGATGAAGGGTATCTGATGGTCTTAGCTGAAATGACTGGGCCTCTCATCTTTGTTATGGGCTTGAGGGGGCCTGCGGAGAGCTGAAAAATTCTCCCTTGAGGAGAATCTTTTGTTACATGACCGCCAGTTAATGAACGACATTTTCTGTTTATTTGACCATTTCTTCTAATTCAGTGATTTCGACTGGAGGAGATTTTGCCCCCGGGGAACATTTGGCAATGTCTGGAGAGGT